ATTTGTTATCATTTGGTGCTTGTGAATATTAGGTTGGCTTTGTGATAACTGGGTTGCACTCTGGCTGGTTTAGTTTCTTTATCTTTGGAATAAGTCTCATAAACTCTCTTAGGATTTTCTGTGTAGTTTTCACCTCTCCTTTGTGAGAGTTTTTCACCTCTCTTTTGAGAGAGCTTTTTGATTGTTATGAGTTTACAATCTTAGTTGGGATGCCTATGCCAAAGTTTCTTTAGTCATGCATGATCATTGGTGGAGGTGCACCAAATTGTCTTCATCTTAATGTTATATTTCTTCATAATTGTAATGGCCCTTTGTGACTAGTTTGTATTGGCCTTTTGTGGCCAGTAGATTTTTTGGTTGAATTATGAATGCAATTCAATATCTGAAAAAATATATAGAGAGTAAGAGGATACCAAAGAGACACATTGACACATATATCGTTGGGGTCCCGATCCTCTACATTTAAGCCCACGCATTTTCCGTATTTCGCTTCATCTAGGCCATTCTAATGATCCAACGTATGGTTTCATACATGACATGTTAGCAACATAATACAATTTAGTTTTTATTATTTTATTATTTTATGATTCTATAGTGACGTTAGGTTGTCGTTTCCTTCCATCATCGCTCTTCTCCCTCTCCTCCTCGCTTCTCCTCTTTTTTTTGGGTGTCAAATAGCAATCTCTTATAGAAAGTAGGGGTGCAAGTTGGATTGGAAATTTTGATTCGAAAATTAACGATTTTGGCTAGTCCATATCGATTCCGACCTCCGAAAGTTCTGAAATCTAAAAATTCTAAAGATTTTTTTTTTTTGAATTTGGAATGTATCACAAGATTCCGAAAACTTCTTAATTCCGAAATATATTAGGGTTTCAGGCTTAGATTACATATATGTAAGACTAATTTTATGTTGAACTAGATATGGCTTAATGACCAAATAGACATTGTCAAGTAATTTCAGAAAGGATAAGAACATCTAAGTAATAACATATAATACTTTTTCAAGCTTTTCGTATTATTTTTCAATTTTAAGCCAATTTTAACCTTTTAAATCTTTGGAGATGTTTAAAATGTTAAACTATTTTCCGAAATTTTTCCAAAAATATTCCGAAATATATAAGTTCTGAAATTTTCCGAAAATTCCAAGTTTTCCGAATTGGAATGGATGTGAAATTCCGAAATTTTTTGGAACAGAATTAGAAAGGAATTTTCGCTCAAAATTTTTTTTGGATTGAAATTAGGGTTCCATGATTCCGATCCATTCCATCCAAAAACGAACCGTAATAGAAAGCAAAAGCAGGGGCGGCAAAGCCAAACCCAGGTACATAACCTCAGAACTGCAAAAGTGCCAAGAACACCAACTAGAACCCAAAGACAGGTCTAGGAACAACATAGCTCAGCACAGAAAAGGTAGAAACAACCAAAATACAATAACCAAAGCCATGATACCCTTAGCTCCTAAACCTCTCCTATTTTCTCTGTATCTTGTGTCTCCCAAATCCCAATTCCCACATCCCCTCAAGTGTTCAAAATTCAAAAAAAATTATATCTAAAACAAATTCCAAGTTAAAAAAATTTCAATCAAATTTCAGAAACTTAATTACTGGATTCTTGCTATCGTTAGCAAATTCAATTATTAAATGGTTGAATCAAATTCCAAGTGAAAAAAAAAAAAGCATCCATGTATTTGAGATATAGTTTGATATTTTTGGGATTTTGATTTGGGTTTTGAACTAGTGTTGAGTATAGTAGAGATTCCTGGAGTATTTTCGTATCATGTAGATATTTAGTGTAAGAATATAAAACATAACAAACTAATCTATGGTCAGTATTGATGCAGCCAGCCAGACATTAGTTACATTATGCATAGTGGTAGGCTAAAATGTGAACATACATTATGCATACATTATGCATGGTGTATATGTATAGTCCTTTTCCTTGTATGATACGACAACCTTTCTTCAATGGCCACAGTCCATATACGTGTGTGTGTTATTTGAGACCACAAGAAATTGAAAATCATACAGTTGTGGAAAGCTTTAATTTTTGAAAGAGCCTCCCAGAAATGGGCGGTTGGAGAAAGTGATTTTTGTTTTGGAGTGGAGAAATAATATCAAAAAGCATTTGTCAAATGGATATATGTGCATTGGTTAACGTCGGTTGTCATGAGTTTGAATTTGGGTGTGAATGTCAAAATATGGTTGTTGTTTGTGAAGTTTGATGCAATATTTATAACAAACGGCCCACATATGAAATAAATTTTCAACTGAAAGAAATTGTCACCATATGAAATAAATTTTCAACTGCAATATTCATATCAAACGCCCCACATACATATAATATTAAGTGCTCTTAAACAAACTCTAAAATTAATTAAATATATTCTATTATTAAATTATTTATTAAATTACTAATTTACTATAATATAAAATGATCAAAAAGAATATATTGAATTGTTGCATGCAAGCGTCCCATGAGTAGTACAAGCTAAGCACAGCTAAATCCAAGCTAGGTCCCTTAATTTTCCAATGTGGGACAAACAAACAATTGGTTTTGGGGGGAGTAGCCCAACTCCTTATAAACCCAGGCTTGTTCCCTTAATTTTTCAATGTGGGACAAATACTCTTAACAATATAACCAAACGAAAAAGGTAAGAGTGTGTAAAAAAATAAAAATAAAAAAACATATAGGGCGGTTCGGTTTACTAAAGCACTTGTTTTGGATTTCAGTACAGAGCACTAAACTAGTTTAGCGGATCGGTTTGGATTGCTTATCCGATTTTAAAACAACTTAAAACAAAAACCTAATCAAACGAAACCCATTTTTCAAATTTGGTCAGAAATTACCAACCCTAATTCCATGCATACAAAAAATTACAAATAAGAAAAGACCAAAACCTCATATAAGAATTAAAATATCATAATAAAATATATCAATTTCACGTAATCAAAATCTAACATATTACATTGTGCTCATGAAAATGTATAATTTTCACCATACGGTAGACAACACCGCTGAAACAACTAAATCGAATATTAGTATATAATCTTATTTTGCCAAGATGAGTAACTTTGGGATGTAAAATTTAAGAGCTTGACTTCAATGTGTTTGCAATGTCGATGACAAAACGGTATCTAACATCTGTTTTGATGAGACGCTCCATAGCCGTGTTCACATAATCAACTGGGATAACCTCGACGTTTGCTGTTATGTTGTGTTTACCTGCAAAATCAATCATCTCTTGGGTTTCCTTCATACCTCCAACAACACTACCAGCCACTATCTTCCTTCCTGAAATTACAAAATAACACATTTTTGTTAATGTTGATTATCCACCAATGCAAATCAAAGCACAGGTGATTAGCAAGAATAAAAAATTATTTAAGATAAATGTTGTGCTTTCAAATCCAGTGTCAACATGTAAAGCCAACTTCTCGTAGTTAGGGCTAGTTTGGTATTGCTATGCTTTAAAAAAAAAATTGCTTCTGCTATGTTGTGAGAATAAACAGCTGTGAATAAAAGCAGTTAGGCGTTTGGTAAACTGTATTAGAAAAAGTGTTGTGAAGAGTCAAAGTGTTTGGCAAATTTTTATTAAAATGCTTTTAGTGTATATAATAACCAGAAAGGACATGATGATGAAATTGTCCTTTTTTTTCTTTTTATTTTAATAACAAAAGGAAACCAACTTCACTACATATAATTTTTTTTCTTTTTTTTAACACTTAACACACATATTTTACCATAAATTCTAAATTATCATTGTAATGAAATTTAATAATTATATTTTAGGGCTATATTTAGCCTATGACCCACAACTGGAGATGGCCTGTATTTGTTTCTCGAAAATTATATGTGAATTGTGTTTGGCTATAGCAAGGGTGCTAAGGTGTCAAGACTGTTGCGTTAATCATGGGTGTTAGTTTGTATTAGTTGTTGTAATAGTCACGTGTATCTTAAAGTTAGTTAGGAAGAGCTAGCTTAACTACTAAGCAAAGCCCAAAGTATAAAGGGTTCTGTGTACTGTAATATTAAGGACTCAGTAAAAGAATTCTCAGATAATACTCATTTTCTCTCTCTGATTCTTTGACTCTTCTCCTTCTTCTCAATTCTTCCTCATCTGTTAACAATTGGCTTCGGAGGAAGAGAAGGTGGAGTGGAGAATTTGGACTCGGCGGCGAACCAATTCAAACGAGATTCTATTCTTTCCTAAGGATATGTGTTGTCATTTTAGAAAGTTATTAGGGGCCTTATGGGGAATATGAAATATTCATTAAAGGACCAGTTAATTTTTTTTTAAACAGCTTTGAGAAGCAATTCCTGGCTGCTTTGAGAATCTGCTGTCACTGACCTGAGCTTTTAAAATAAGTCAGCTTTTCTTGGTTTTACCAAACGGGTTGGAACACAAAATTTTTATTAAAAGCTGCTTTCTTATTAATCGCAGCAACCCAAACGCTAGCTTAATTACAAAAGGCCACTACTAAAAAAACTCACACTACCTACTGATTTTAATTTGTCCCATTTCGTTGATTTTTGAGAGAATAAATTGTCTTCACTTAATAATAGAGACAATGTATCCACCATTATTTTGTCAGTATTCTAGTTTGGTGTGGCTATTGAACAAATACATTATCAGCCATTCACGTAACTTACCCATGAGCAAAGGAAAAACAGGTAGCTCAAGAGGCTTCTCGGGTGCTCCAACCAAAACAAGCTTTCCATTATTCTTCAATAAACCAATCAAAGGCAAGAGAGGGTGGACAGCAGAAACGGTGTCAATGATACCATCCATTGTGCCCATGGCAGCCTACACAATCAACTTAACTCATTACCTTCACAACAATCAAACTAACGATGACCTTAGAGTCGTCAATTTAATGGACCTTATTCAAAGATAATAATCACCTTCATTTGGCCATCGTCGCGGCTGACCAAAAATGAATCAGCACCGAGGTTTTCAATGGCTTCCGATTTCTTATTGGGGGAGGTACTGATCACTGTGACCTTAACCCCCATAGCCTTTGCAAACTTCACGGCCACGTGGCCCAGACCACCGACGCCTACCACACCCACATGCATGCCGGGTTTGTCAAGTCCGAAATACCTTAAGGGGCTGTAAGTTGTAACCCCAGCACATAGGAGAGGAGCAGCACCGTGAAGAGGCAGGTTGTCGGGAACACGCACTACGAAGTGCTCATTTGCCACCATGATGTCGGAGTAACCTCCATATGTTGTGGTTCCATCGTGGTACTTGGCT